TTCAAATGCCTATAGAATGATACGTTTCTTTTTTGTGAGTGTAAAACACTTAAATACACCATTTCGATTTTCGATACCTCACTACTATAAATGTTTGGTTTGGTCTGATATTTCATTGGTTGTAGTGTCCAGGGTCACTGATGAGGAGTGGAATTCTCCGAAACTAGTCTGGCTCAAGACACACACCCAAATGAAAGAATAGCCCATTCCAAGCTCTTACTTGTTGTTAAACAAATGTTTAAACAACTCTATTGAAAAATAGCCTCAATTCTTTAACAGTTTATTATTTTACGTTAACATCTGAATAACGATCTAATAAAAGCTGATACAGCCGTTGAATTTTTCTCACTGAGAGATGTTTTGATGGTCATCGTAATATAATTTATGAATGCAAATCACACACATATCGTTCTTTTTTATTTGTGTAGTAAAGTTTAGTAGTAAAAAAAGTTTTAAGACATGTATTATTACTTCCTTAGTTGATGTTTGTCGTATTTCAGACCGCTTTACAGGGTGCACAAACTACAGTCTTTCTCGCTGTAAAACCAGGAATCGAATCCTTTTCTGGGAGCTACTTCTCTGATTGCAAGGTTGTGGGAACGAGTGCTAAAGCCATGGACATGAAGATAGCACAAAAGCTATGGGAGGTTAGCGAAGAGATGACTAGATTGTAATTCCAAGCTAAAGCAGGCACATGACGAAGGCTTATACCTAATGACCCGAAAAACACGCCGTCTAAAGAGCAGTTTTAATAGTATAAAATCAAAAATGTAAAAAAATAAAAATAAAAAAATTGACAGATAACTGTACGTAATAATTTTTTCAGAGCACAACACATTTGTCCTTTATAGGTTTCAAAACCACAGGGTTTTTATAAAACTGCTATTTATGTTGTTGTTTTTTAATTAAAGTAAGCACAGTTGAGTACACTTCTTCTAAGAACATGATTTTAAAACATCGTTAAGTTGCATACACTTTGAATTTACTTCTTCGGATATGCATACATATTGCAGCATTTTAATTTAAAAATAATTATTATAAGACATAATGAATATGGGCAGGTGATTAGGGCGCTCGACTCGCAATCTGAGGGTCGCGGGTTCGAATCCCCGTCCCGCCAAACATGCTCGCCCTTTCAGCCGTGGGGCGTTATAAGTGACGGTAAATCTCACTATTCGTTGGTAAAAGAGTAGCCCAAGAGTTGGCGGTGGGTGGTGATGACTAGCTGCCTTCCCTCTAGTGTTATAAATCTACACAAAGGGCTTTCTATGCTCTACCCCTCACAAGTATCGAAACCAGATTTCTAGCGGTATAAGTCCGCAGACAAAACACTGTGCCACTGGGGAGGCTGTTTTATGTAACATTTCGTTGTTTTCTACAGTTTCAATTTGTTATTATTTTTGGTTTTGGTTTCCTATATACAATTATTCTTTTTTTTTTCTTATTGTTCTGTACGTGTTTAGTAATTCCCTTAAAAAATATAAAATTTAATTTCAATTGTGCTTGATAATAGTGTACTTCATTCAAAGCATGAAAGCTTTTATATTTCGTTGTTCTTTCTAAATACCTTAATAGCATTTCCACATTATTTAATGTTTCAACATAAAATACATAAAAATGAATTTATTAACACATATCGCTTATTTTATGAGCTGGAAGTTTTCGAATGGTTATTGAAGTCTTTCTCGAGCTTAATTACTGTAGACTGTGTGGTGATAAACATAATGTTGACGTGGAGAAAAGATCTGAGAGTTTTTGCTTATTTTGAAAATATACTCAGGTCCTGAGTCTCAGTTCATATCTTTCTTAGTTCTCTCTCTTCAGTTCCATTTTATTTGTTGTCGAAAACAGAATGTGTACAACACTGGATGAATTCTCTTGGTTTGCCAGGAGCATGGTATATACGAACAGACAACCCACCCAGCGGTGGAGGGGACAACTTTTGGTAGTCAAGCTGAGGATAAACATAAATTACAGATGAAAGAGAGTCTGCTAATTGCCAAACTGACGCCGATCTTAAAGCAACAATATTCGACGATACTACTCTTCCTCAAACTATAAGCCTTACCTAATTGTTGTAACGTGGTTCTTTTCCATGGCGTTATTACTATAAACGAAATTATTAACACTGCTTTAGATAGGATAAACTACCACCATATATTTTAAAGAATCTGGCTGGTTCTGTAAAATATAGGTCAGTTCCAAATAATAGGGTTGCAGACATAAAGATAATGTTGGTTACTATCGAGTGTCACTTTATTACTTGCTGTTGTTTTATGGTGTGTATTGACATAAATTCATAATATGTAATTAAAAACACCTTAGGTGTGAAAAAAAAGGTGCAGCCAAAAAAGGACTGAGTGTGGAACTTAAAGGAATGAAAT